CACCGGAGGTCGAACAGGACGCGGTCGCTCGATCCTTCCCGTAAATCTCTCAACTCATCTCTGATTTGGCAGAAATGAGTTAGGAGATTGCCATAATGATAAGCCACCACCGTCAACTGCCGCATGGTATTACCATCGCGAATACGTGAGCCGTCAACGGCAACTGGTAGATGGCACAGCCATCGCTATTGTGCGAGCTCCTACCAGAAATTCGTTGCGCCGCCCTTGGGAGCAAAAAACGGTGAAAGCTAACGTACGAAATCAGAGGGCAGCACACGGTGCGATCGCGCGACCCTGCACGTGAGCAATCTCCCAACTCATCTCTGTCACCAATCTCCCAACGAATCTCTGTGACTGTCTATGACTGACATGTCTTGATAAAGAACGATAAGGAAGAAAATTTCGGTCGTGAGTTAACGTATTTTTCTTCGATGATTACCTCGAGTCATCCGATTATCTAGACAGATTGTAACTTTCGGATAATCAGCGAACTGAACAATAAGCACCTTAACTGGAGCGGAATAATTTTGTCGGCGGACGTTGACAGGCAAGGTAACATAACCTATGACACCGGATCCAACGAAGGCGCGTCATTGTTTGGACGTAATCTCTCTCGAAGTAAAAAGTGAGCAGGACAGTTCAAATTTCTTTTTCTTTTTCTTTTTGCACGGCTTATTCTAGAAGAACTTTGCTCTTAAGATAACCTAACTTGGAGCGATATCAATAATAATTTCAGTTATTTCAGGGGAACAAGTGTTTTGGTTTTGATAAAAAAGAAGTATCACGGTATGATGACCTAGGAGGGAATAGCACTGCGGGAACAGTGGTTCCGTCTTGAATCTTACAGCCGCTAGTTTTACTAGAGAAGCGCAGCTGTTATCTTCAAGTATTCCGTCTCACAGCTCAAATGTCGATCGACAATGGCTTTGACAGGCCTTTCGAGGAGTTTGAACCTCCACAGTGGGATGCGCTCAGAAATGTTTGCCGTGCCAATATCGAGTATTTTTCGTCGCATCAAGATGAAAATGGGCTACGGATAACGGCGGGACTGTTGGCTATACTGGATAACGTGGATGCATTAGGACCGTTATATAAAGAAATAGCTAAAATTGCTCCGTTGTTCGATTTCAATGAAAACACTCCAGGAAATGGTTACAGAAGTTTCTTAATACTGGTGGAGAAAGGTATTTTACATTGTGGCTCCATTTGCCGGGATTTATACTGCCAGAAGGACTCTATGCTCTTTAAAAAGAATAATTACTCAAAGTAAGTGGCTTTAAACAGTCGTTAGTATATTAATTTTAATGTTGAATCGTTACTGATATTTTTAAAATTAAATTAGGGAAATTGAAGCATGTTCTCAATTAATTGCATCGCTAACTACTTGTTTACAACATTTGAAAACCTTACATTCATGGAGTGGGGTAACCAGCTGTGGAAGAAAGTCGTTATTCCCAGGTGATGATCATAGTCCTCAAGAATTATTAAGTCATGCTGAAAATGTTAACCAATACTGTTTTTATGGCAGATGTCTAGGCTTTCAGGTATGATTAATAGTATGTGAAATATATCAGTTGACATGCATTGCTAAATAGTTATAAATTCAAATACATTTTTCAGTATTCTAGTAATATGAGGCGCATTTTGACTGTAATATCAACTAGTATGGCTTCGTTCAGTGAAGTTTTCTATGCCAATGGTGGATACTTACAAAGGTTCACCAACTCTGTAAAATATTTCCTAGATCCAGAATTACGAGCTCGTCGTCTGGTGAATCTGTTTCAACATGCAGACGTATCATTTTGCAAATCGTTCTGGTACATCAATGAAAGTGGTAAGATCTGTTAAAAAAATTATATCGATTCAGCACTAACATCTGCTATTGATTTTTAAATCTAAATATCACGATTATAACATTCTATTTGTATCTAGGACAAAACATAATTCAGTAGATACGATAATATTGTTATCCAGGTGTGAAACCGATCACCAATCGGTATTATTATTCAAGCCTCTCTGATAAGAATTCTTTCTTTCACAGAATTTTTTAAGAATGTCATCACCATTGGAATGCCATCGGTGTTAATAAATCAAATAATTTCTATACCTCCGGAAGAACTGATTTTGCCTACTAATGATGGTTCTACAATATCGATTCCTATCCCCAGTTCACATATTGGGAAGAAGCCTATACATGTTAAATTGCTTAGTACAAAACGGAGAATAGGAATGGTTAGAAAATAGTATTGTTTATTAATATCGTGATAAATAATGTTCTTTTAATTTTAACATATTAGTTATCACTTGCAGGTAGGCTCGGCGAGAGCAGGAAGTGAATTGTTAGGGCCTTCGGAGTCATTAGCAATTCACTGCCACGGTGGTGGGTTTGTGTCGCAAAGCTCACAATCCCATGATATTTACTTGCGAGAGTGGGCTACAACTTTGGACATACCAATATTATGCATCGATTATAGTTTGGCTCCCGAAGCTCCTTTCCCCCGTGCTCTCGAAGACGTGTTATATTCTTACTGTTGGGCACTTAAACACGCCAGTACATTACTTGGAAGTATTGCTCAGAAAGTAATTATGATCGGTAAGGTTTGATCTGAGATTATCCTATTTTTTAAGAAAAAAATTCAATAAACTTTTGGTTTATAACTAGAAACATAAATGACAGGAGATTCAGCGGGAGGAAATTTAATTCTTGCGGCTACTCAAAAATGCCTGGAATTAAATATAAGAAAGCCCGATGGATTATTCTTGGCTTATACACCAATGTTGGTAGAATTTGTTCCGTCACCTTCTAGATTGCTTTGTCTTACCGACCCAATGCTGCCATTTGGCTTTATGATGAACTGCTTGAAAGCCTATGTGAAAGGGAATTCCAACGAAGACCAAAGGTATATATAATTGTTATAACATCCTGTTTCCATGGATTTGTTTTATTATTTTTTTTATAAACGTGCAAATAATTTTCATTACGCTGAACATTTTTATGTGGACCGAAGTTATTTTTGTGATTAACTTAATACCACGGTGACATTTTTAACCGTGTTATATATATATTTTTATTTTCAACTCTGTAATTACATTTGTAGGGAAAGTACCCAAGACGAAGAATGTATAAAATCTGACACCGAATCATTTGCCGAAGTCAGTGAAAGTGATCTTTTTGCTCTAGCACTTAGTCCTAATGGCGATGAGACTAACGAAGAACAGAAACTAGCTTCTTTGCCATCAGATTCTACCTTAAATTCCGTCAGCTCAGCAGAAGTTGATGCTACTCAAGGTATGCTTTCGATTCGGAGAACATGTTAACTTAATATAAATATTTCTAACACATCTCGTAGGTACAGCAGGCCCAGAAGTTGTTAAAGATGAAGCTGTATCTCAAGAGTATATTAGAAAATTTGTAAATATGTATAAGAATGCATATTTTGGAACGGCAGCACCTATGGCTAATGGAAGTGACAGCGAAGAGTGTAACGGTACTAATAGCAGCAAATCGTGGTCATTTTTTGGGTGGTCTATTGGAAAACAAAAAGAACTTAGGGAACTGGATGCAATGGGAGAAAGAAGTCCAATCGAGGAATTCGCATTTACAGTGCCAAAGGATCCACTTTTAAGTCCGTATCTTGTATCTGACGATGTTTTAAAACAAATGCCACCGATGAAAATTTTGGTAAGCTAGATGAATTTCTTGACCGCTGCTAATCCTATTCTTTGAAACATGATTTATAATTCTTTTAAAACTATATCATAGACTATGGATTTTGATCCATGCTTGGACGATTGCATTATGTTTGCACTTAAGCTGAAATCTCTGGGAAAACAAATTACTCTTGATGTTTTACATGACTTGCCCCATGGTTTTCTCAATTTTTCCACGGTAAGAAATTTCTTGTAGAGAAGTATTTCCATAAATAATGTTGAATAAATTCATTTTTTTTTTTAGGTATCAAAAATAACACACGAAGGCTCCTTAGTTTGCATAAAAAGAATAAAAGAGTTGCTGGATGCTTAATTAGGAAAAGCTGAATGCAGATGGATAAGAATTGTTTACAATTATGCTTTTTAAATTTCAATTCAGTTGCGTGTCAAAGACCTGTCGAGCCATGAGCTTCATAAATGCTGACGTGTTGTATTACAAATAATTAATACAAACAGAAGCTACGTTATTTGTATATTCTCAATCGAAAAGGTTTGTATTCAACATGTGTGTCGATTTTAATGCTTTCGTGATGTTTTGTTTAACTGATTTAAGAAAGTTGAATGAGAAGTACTTTAAGAAAAATATCTTTTATATTATGTCAAGTTATGGAGAGGTTTATGTATATATTGTTCAATGGCTATTATTTCTATTACTTGTTGATAATTTATCTAACCACCGTTCATACGTATTCTTTAACTCTTTTATCAAATTTTTTACCCTAACACTTTTGATACTATCTCTTTACTGCTTAAGATCACGTTTGCAGCGATGTACAGTTAAAAATGTATGACCTTATTGGTACCTGCAATTGTAAATTTTCTAGCCTAACAGCAAAATACTAATGTACTACGTACCAAGTACCTTGCATATTAAATATTATAGATCGTGTTAGGTAGGCTAAGTCTCTGTGAAATTTATGTAAAAATTGAATGTATTACGAACAGTAGTTTCATGTCATGTTAATAATTGAAAATAAATAATCGCACATTATTTTGAATCTGGTAGTGTGAATTATACTACTTATTCGCTTTTGTTTATAACAATTTCAAATTAAAGAAAGAGATGAACAATTTTAATAATCGTGAATACGATTTCATATTGTAATAATTTTGTTTAGGTAGTCTCATTTAATGAATGATTTTTTGCTAATGTTTACACAAGTCTCGTTCCTATGATCTGATATTTAAAATATTTTTCTCGGTACATATTATATACAGTATTCTTATATCATGGTATACTTAGAAGTTATACATTAAATGAAATATGGAACTCTGAAATTACAAGCACTAAACTTTCTTTCTTTTTTCTTTTTTTGATAATTTGTACAGCAGATGTTGGTGTTTAATAACAGAGAATGAAGGAAAAATGGGTTAACATGTAAAGTCTATTCACTGACTGGCAGGTTGATGATTCACATTGGTCGTATTATTTGTATTACTCCTTGGGCGTAGTGTCTTTTGTAAAACATGAGCATCCGCCGGTTCTATTCGTTTGTAATAATGCTTCTTCGTTTCAACGATTTCAAAGCCAAATTTTTTGTAAAAGTCAATCGCTCCCTCGTTATTAACTTGGACATGCCTGCAACGAAGCGTGAGTTCAATGTACATTTTTTTTATTACTTGAAAGTAATAGTACCGATTAAGCATCATTTAATAACAGCATTGTTACTTACAGAAATATAGAGTTAAAATTACCATCCTTATTGACATAGTTTAAAACATGCTGTACCATTACAGTTCCGATTCCTAATCTTCGATAAGGATACAGGCAACCTAAAGTCATTATGTATAAACGTCGAGAATTTTCCGATGTGTCAACTCGACAACAAACAGCTCCCACCTACAAAGTAAAAGGCAAATATCAGTAACCGACTTTAATACTATCTTAACAGTGTCAATAAAATTAAGCTTCGCAAATGTGTCGTATCGTTACGAAATGTTGCGTACCACTATATCATTGTAATACGCTAACTTGGCCAGCTCTCCGGCCTCCAAAACATCCTTATAAAACTTCTCGTTATAAGACACAGGAAATACTACTTGATTTAGCAGTTTCAGCTGCTTTATATTATGTGGCGTTACTTCCCCTAATTCAATTTTTGATCTGTAATTGAAGATAAAAATCATACAGTCATACAAGGTTATAATTACAGAAGCCCTAAAAAAAAATGAAGATCAAAAATAACTCTTTGACGTGTGCTCCGAGGACGAAAGTGGTCCTAAGCAGCTATGTCGGAACATTCTCATTCAGCAAAACTCGTCCCCATAACAGGAAGTTAGCACTACATTTACTTGAAAAGATTCAGTTCAATTATTTGGGAGGCTCGCGATGAGAATTTCTCAGGAAATACGCCGACGAGCAAGTATAACGAGACAAGAAGCACGTGTAACCTCAAAGTGAGAAAAACTTACCTAGTCATATTAATTAGCTATGGTTCACCTAAACTGCAATTTGAAGTTGATTGTCAGTACAGTATGGTGATAATTTATTTTAGATCCGACGGAAACGAAAAACGGCGGCAACCGGGATCGCTCTACAAAAGTTTCGTCTGCATTCGGCGGTTCTTCGTGACGTCAGGTTTCTCGACACGGTTGCCGGAAGAATGATGAGTACTGAAGCTTTCATCGATTCATAATGGATGCGCGCATCCGTAAAAATGTCACGTTTACGTTAAATTAAAGACAGACAACGAATAGTAGATTATGAAAGCCATTCCATGGATTTAAAGTACTATATTAAACTCCTAAATCGTCGGTACAGCTCGCAAAGATTTGGATTAATATTTTACAAACTGTTCATAAACGTTCAAAAATGTACCTAGAATCTTTTAACGACCGTTAGTTACTAGATTTGGGATTGATATCCAATTTAGCGGGTATACAATTAATTTAAAACTTGAATTTTACCATTTTTTCGTCATCTTTAAAGGGTTAAAGTGAATCAACTAACATTGTTTTGTCCAACGACCTTGGATAGCAACGAGGTGCGCGCGTCGTTGGCCGCCATCTTGTGCACCACATGACCTCGTTGCCGTGTCCCGTGACCAGCTCACGTGAATTTTGACAAATTCAAACGTTTTTCGGTGGGAAAAAATGGATATTTTGGAACAGCATCTCGATCAGCAGGATGTCAGGTAGCGTTTGCATTAAATATTGCTCGACGAGTGTTATGGGAATGGTTCGTTCCTGTTTAAAGCGAGTTCTTGTCAAGGTCACCGCACAGTGGACAGTGCGCACTTTCCTGCTGTGTAGCAGAACGAAAGTGTTCGTTTCATAGTAGGAAAAGTTTCCATCTCGATTTGACTGACAGTTTTTCCGAGCTTTACGACCGCACCGAAGAATTCTCTCTGTTTTTCAGCGCCGGTTCGACCAAAGAAGAGGACAGTTCGGGCATTGTCATCGAAGAAGCCGAGTTCGTTGACTGCGACGGTACGAAATTCTTAATATCTTATTTTTACCGCATTTCGAGTCCCTTTTCACTTTCACTTAACCTCCAGAAAACTTGCGATGATCATTTGTCGTTAACGTTACGTCACACCTAAGTGATTCAGTTACTGTAATTCAAGCTATCACTATTTTTAACATCTTTGTTATTAAATCGAGGAAAATGCTCCTGGTGTAACGTCATTTAAAATGTCCTATCGATTGATTTTAATCGCTACTAGAATTATCGAGCTTAATGTTACTTTTAATAATTATTCGATGGTTGTATCGACTAGAGTTACATATAATTTCTCGTCAGTGTAGGTGATGCTGTTCCTGAGGATGGAGTGCGCTACCAAGAAGCCCTTGCCTATAGAGTAGTTCAAGTAAATGGTTCTTCGTCTAGTAACGAAATAGAACTGCCTGTAGGACAGCCGACAAATAATACGGTACAAGTTTTGACTTCTCCTTTAAATGGACAGTTTTATGTAATTGGGAACGCAAATGATGTGTTCACGACGGCACAAACGTCCAGGTCTTTGGCACCTAGAACTACTCTTCAAATAGAAACACCTCGTGGTGCTACCACAGGCTTAAAAAAGGTTGAGGTCTCTTCTGAAACTTGTACGATATGTGGTGCGATTAAATCATTTCCCAGAGATAAAGTGACGTACTTTTAATGGCAGACTACAAGTGGAATAATGAAAAAGTTGTTAATTCAATAGTTTTTATAATGACAGCTGAATTAGACAATTTCAATTGTATTAGTGAATAGGCAGTTGGAACGAAGCCAGCGACTATGTTTTATAGATGATTTCGACATTAAGACATTTCACTGCCATGTTAACTATAATGTAAAGTTGGTGTTTGCCTTCGGCTTTTCACTGTGTAATTTCTGTCTGCGCTTAAAAAATTATAAGTTTGATAATTTCTTTCATTATAATGTGCGTTTCAATTTTCATAAGAAGTGTGCCACTCTGGGTTATTCTTTTCTTGCACCTCGTATTCTTGAGTAGTGGGTATCTTATGGAGATCTTTCTCGTTTCAGAGGGATGACAGGCGCAGAGCAACGCATAATGAAGTCGAACGCAGGCGCCGAGATAAAATTAATAATTGGATCGCAAAACTAGGAAAAATTATTCCTGAGTGCAATGCAAATACCAGTGGCAATGGAAGTAGCGGAGGCGAAGGAAAAACCAACTATGAAACTCAGGTAATAAAAAGCCCTAGAACATTTGTTACCAAGTTTTTTAATACTTACTAATAGTCTATTTTTAACGTTAGAGTAAAGGTGGAATCCTAGCTAAGGCCTGTGAGTACATAGGAGAACTCAGAGCCGCTAACCAAGGGTTGGGTCAGTGTGTACGAGATAATGAGAAGTTGCGACAGGAAATTAATGCATTGAAGCAGCTAGTAACGCAACTAAAGCGAGAAAATGCGCAACTTAGGTCTCAAATATCGCCACCTACGACAACGGTAGATAACGTGCACATCAGTTCTTAATGGAAGGCTGGTTGTGTAAGTTCTCATGTAAATAGATTAAATTAGCATATTCATTATTGGTTAACGAAAGGGGAGCTGTACCATTCGTCAGAACATGGGGAAGAGGCGATATCAAGCTTACAACCATAAAATGAAATAATTTCAAATTGTTTTTAGTAACAGAGTTACGATGTAGACTGTGTCTCCGTAGGTCTTCATTGTAAAGAGATGTATTAGATACATATGCAAAGATAACTTTTGTTAAGAGGGTTAAGAAGATGAGGGAAGGCTGTGAATATCAAATGCCGATTTAATTTTTCTAAAAGAATGTCCGAAGGGTCGGTATTTTCTAGATTGAATATTTTTAGCCATAACATTTGGAAAATGCTGTTAGAAACACCATGGCGATCGAGCCTTTATGAATTCGTTGAATGTTTTTTATTTTTAATACTGTTTTCACTTCTAGGATATTTGTAGTACGAGATAGGACTGAGAGAGAATTGTGGAATAGATTATAACAATTACACATGTGTATATATATACATACATAGTATATAGCAATAACATATTTTTTCCATGTACAATATTTCTTGTACGCGAGAAATTGACGCAAGTATAAACCAGAAGTGACTATTGAAAATGTAATATATCGAGATGTACATACCGCGGGGTTATTGTTATATTATTAAAAATGAAATTGAAACAGCCGTTCACTCATTTCCAAACTGCTGAGACAACGAATCGGTGAGGCAAGATCATTCAATGTTTACTGTTTTTGTGCAGAATTTTATTCCTTTTTCTTTACATATCGTACATTGGAAATGATAATGAAGCTGCTGGAACACTGGACATTGTATTCTTTTTCTTTTTTGCACTGCAAAGACCCAGCACCTCGATTACAGCTTAGCGTCTCGAAGACTCTACGTTGGATCATGTAACGTCCTAACGTCAATGTAACATTATTTAACGCCTATATTAATCTCTATCACGAACATAGAATATAATATGATACAATTGCTAATACTTCATGATCGGTATTGGATTCCTTAGATAAAAAGCTGTCGTATCATCCAACGGTCGCTTTAAACACCAAGGCCATGTGCTATCTTTTTTTTTCGTTTTTATTAATTACACTTGATTAATGTCGTCCATAGCGCGTGGATGAGAGGAGAGCTTTCGACAAGGTATGTCTGTATTGTACATATATAAAGTATTTTTCATTAGTGCAATCCACCTATCCGACGATCTCGCGCGTAAAGGACTACGGGAAGATACGGTAGATGGCGAGTAAGCAAATATCCAACGCCGAGTATATAAGGAACTGTCCTAGGTAGATCTCACTAATTAAAAATTCCTTTCCCCTTCACTTTTAAGACACGTAATTAGTTTACAATGATCGGAAAGATTATTTCAAAGAAACTTAATTTGTTGTTTAGGGGCGTCCCATCTTATTGTCTTTGTCGGAGTGTACATACATTGTTACCCGACAAGAGTCTACCCATCGAACAGTTCTTCGGTGGAAAAATAAATTGTTGAAAACGACTCGCGTTACTTTCAAATAATTGGAATTTATATACAATATCCGGGGAATTAATTTCAATCGATTAGAGGTAGAGGCTATCAATCGTGATTGAAAGAAGTGAATACGATTCGTTAAAAACAACCCGTCACCCTCGATTCTAAAATCGCATATCTGCGATTCAGAGGATTGGAATACTTGCTCGGCGATAGACTTTTTCTTTCTTTTTTCTTCTTTTTTCCCCCCCTTTTGCTTTAAGACAAATTATAGATCGTGCAATAAGCAACTCCGAAGTACAGGCTTATTCACATTGTTTAACGGAAGCAAAATATCGATGGTATCTGATTATTTGATGCCTCGGTGATGACACCGATGTAACACTTGCTGTTCTCTCTTTAGCTTAATGTTCAGCTACTGTCGGAACATCCCTAAACGTCTAAGATATCGGACGCGGTTAATGAAGGTGCTTCTTATCAAGAAGATTAATCTTCCAGATTTCTAAATGCCTGTTGAATGTCTTCGTGCAATTGATCGAAGTCTGCTCTGATCTTGGCTTCGCCATCCTTCACCGGATCCTAAATAATATCACTAGTTTGTATGACTGTGTTCAGGCAAACTGACGCATTGAATTTCTCGGAGAGACTGCGAAATAATGTATTAATTAATTTCCAAAACTTACCTTGAATTTCATCGAACTGAGTTGGTATAGTATGTTGCCCATGCTATCACGAATAACATTCCAAGTGATCTTGTTGTCGGACTGAGCCGTAGACTCCACAGCATGCCTGGCCATATCGTAGAAAGCAATCATGTTCCGCAACATTCCGACAGTTTTGTAGAATGGACAGAATCGATCGTACGGCGAGTAACTGTACAATTAATCATCCATTGTTTGTATGAAACAAATCTATCGTTTAGATTTTATAACATGTGTGTTGAATAGAAACGCCACCTGTTTTGCTGCAAGAAGTCGTCCTTCAAAAGTTTTGCCACTTCCAGAGTAATCTTGTCCGTCTCGGCGAGAGAGGCTTTGCCGACCAGCTGCACGATTTCCGACAGATCTTCCTCCTCTTGGAGGATCTCCTTGACCTTGGTTCTCAACGGAACGAACTCGGGGAAGTTCTTGTCGTAGAAATCGTCCAATGCTCGGAGATATTTACTGTACGAGATGAGCCAGTTAATGGAAGGGAAGTGTTTACGCTGAGCCAGTTTCTTATCCAATCCCCAGAAGACCTGTAGCAAAAAGGTATGTAAGAGATTTAGACGGCACTCTTTAAGAAAATATATGTGATCTTACCTGCACTATACCAAGAGTGGCACTGGTCACAGGGTCGGAGAAATCACCACCAGGTGGTGATACCGCTCCAACGATACTGACGGAACCTTCGCGATCCGGGTTACCTAGACACTTTACCCTGCGCCGAGATAATTTATTCAGCCGATATTCTCAACTTGTCCATGTTAAGGTGAAGTGAAACACATCGAGGAACTTGATCAGCGTCGATAAAGATTTTTCTAAATACCTACGTCGCCGACGTTCGTTTTTATATTGACAGATGGGTCGAATTATATTGGATATTGTACTAAATGGCATACGCCACCTGTCGTTTTCGTACAATAATTATAAAGAAATCGAAGTAAAACCCCAGAAATCCCCTGGATTCGTGCTTTCTGAGGCCCTAATTGATTGCAGAGGGACTCCCTGCGCCATCTGTGATTTCCAGGTCAATTAAATTTTCCCTTCGAGACCTTGCATTTCCATCGTTTTAGTATAGAAGCGCATAAAACACTTTTCTTGCCTTTATCCCGTTCAAATGCGTGTTTATGGATTACCAGAGTGTTCTAAATTGTCGTAAAATTGTCCTGACCCTTTCGTTTCTCATATCAGAGCCTTCGTTAATTGTATACTGATCGAAATGTGAGAGCTCGACGTCACTGTTTCTAGTCTGACCCAAGTTAAAAAATTGATTCCAAAAATCCAAATTTTGAATGTGTCAGGACAATTCTTAGATAATCACAAGTCATGTGAGAAAGTTTCGGACAGTTTGGTCCGATACCCTTAAAAAAAGTGTTGTATTCGAATCGACTGATTTGAAGGGGGTTTCACTTCACCTTAAATTGCTAAGAATCGTTGCTTTACCTTCCAGCACGCTCGTAGAAACTGGCAAGCCTGGCACCGAGGTAGGCAGGATAGCCAGAGTCGGCGGGCATCTCGGCCAAACGACCGGAAATCTCACGAAGAGCTTCGGCCCACCGAGATGTGGAATCTGCCATCATGGATACGTTGTATCCCATGTCTCTGAAGTATTCCGAAAGAGTAATCCCTGGGAAAGGATGGAAGTATTGAATTAATAGAATAATAATAGAATTATATCAGCGTCAAAGGCACTTGCTTAAATCATTTGGTAGGAACTGTTGGAATGCAACCAAAATGACGAATATAGTACTTGGCACAAGTTTACGGTGGGAACTATAACTGTGAACTTACTTGCATACGGTACGTGTATAAATGGTATTACTTATTTTTTTATGTATTTCTGATAAAGCAATGTAATTAAGGTACTTGTTTATGAAAGTTCAGAGAGATACCTGTGTAAATGGAAGCTTCTCGAGCAGCGACAGGCATGTTGGAGGTATTGGCAACCAGGGCTGTACGTTTCATGATGGATTCGGTGACTCCATCAATTTCAACGGTGAGTTCAGGGAAATCTCTCAGTACTTCCGACATCTCGTTACCACGTTCTCCACAACCGACGTAGATGATGACATCTGAGTTAGAGTACTTTGAAAGAGCCTGGGAAATTACAGTTTTACCGCATCCGAAAGCTCCTGGAATTGCGGTTGTTCCACCCTGAACGCATCTATAGTTGAAAATGTAAGTTACGGGTAATTAAACATGTTGTGTATGGAGAATAATTATATGGGGAAGGTAAAAGCTTACGGGAAGAGCGAGTCTAAAACTCTTTGACCAGTCAGCAAGGGATGGTTGGCGGGCAGCTTCTCAGTAACTGGACGAGGCTGACGTACTGGCCATACCTATGAGTTCAAATGTGATTAGTAAGTTAGAAAATGTTTAAGTGGTTGTAGTTGTGCAATTCTAATTAGTCATACTTGCAACATGGTGTACTGGTTCTTTTCACCGTCAAATTCTGTTTCCAACACAATGTCCTGTAATTCATAAAGCATACATGTAACGTATATAAAATGTGAGCAGTAGTGTAACTTCAAATTTGCAGTGGAAATGACATACGTCAACGGTATAGTTGCCGGCAGGTGCAATGTATGTCACGGTGCCTTTGCTTTTAGGTGGCATAATCATCTTGTGCTTTACGAGGGTATTCTCGTGGACGATACCGTACAGATCTCCACCGGTAATGTGGCTGCCATTTTTTATGTTTAATGGATTGAATTCCCAGGAGATCACCCGCGACAAAGAAGGAACATTGACACCCTTCGGGATATAAATGGAACTGGTTAATTCATTAATATCTTTCAGAGGTCGTTGAATACCGTCGAAAATGCTGCCCAGAATACCGGGCCCCAGTTCTACGGACAAGGGTTTCCCAGTTCTGAGCACTGGATCGCCAACGGTAACGCCACTGGTTTCTTCGTAGACCTGTGTTAAAGACATAAAAAAATAACGTGAGTTAAAAATCACTCATTTTTAACGTGGTATCGAGAGTTTTTTACCTGAATAGTAGCCATGTCTCCTTCTAAACGAATAATTTCTCCAACAAGTTCATAGTAACCGACTCGTACTAATTCGTACATAGCGGATCCAGACATCTTTTCCGCAGTGACGACTGAAATAAAACATGTAAAAAGTGCAGATCTCTTCAACGGAAATCAATTAAAAGCACATGCCATGGTTGATTTTCTTACCGGGTCCGGATACCGCATAGACATATCCAAATTTAGTCTCCTTTTCATTATGCGCAATCTTTGGCAATCCATGGCTCGCCATCTTAAATGGTTATTTAGTTGCGACTACAACAAATAAAAAAACCGTTAAACCTTCATACCGCCTTACATATCCAAGCGTTCGTTAAACTAAGACATCGATGAATGATTATTGTAAAATGTTCACATGCGAATGACCACTCCCACATGATCGAAGGGGCAATTTAAACGGGTGGAGCCAGATTTAGAAAAGAATCGTAACATAAACTAAATTCGAATGTATCGGGGAAAGACGAGACCATTGTTTTAGCCAAGTTAAGAAACAAGTTGCGGCGGAAAGAGGGCGAAATAATGACTTCAGTGTCACGTCTGTAGCTTGTTCACGTGAGTAGTTTATTCGAAACGGAGTAGGCGGAGCCCGCTGGGCCGAAAGCAGTCGTCGCTAGCAGAAGCCACTGTTCGCGACGCGCGTTCGATTATCTACGCGGGAAACCTTTCGGCTATTTTCCATGTGATATACTTGGCCAAACCGTCGCACCGATCCTCCCTAAAAGCTATCAGAATGGACAATATATCGGCACCACCGTGAGCGATGGCGCACGTAAAGTGGTACGATCGATATCGCACATTTAGGAGCTCTCTTGATAAATTAGTGCGGGTACAAATATCAGCCGAGACTGCGTATACTGGCAGGTACAGGGAAGACTATTTTTGACAATTCCTACGGTAGCTGTGCTAGCAAATATCGAAAATTCATTACACTTACGGATAGGTTTGACGAACCAGAATGCACCCACCCAACTAGTCGAGTCTGGCTGCGCCTGTCTGCTGCTGGTATCACAAGACAGGTCAGCTGACCGATGTAAAGCCTCCTTTCCACTAGGCGACCACCTCCATTTCCCCTAGAACTTAACTGTCAAAGGGGCAGAGGTCTAGGCGTTCATTATGTATTCTTCACGAGAGCGTTTTTCACGTCTAGGCGTTCATTACGTATTTTTCACGACAGCGCTCACTTCTCGCACTTTCATCTTACGTGGGTTTATTCGCCGAATTACGTATTCGCTATATGAAAGAATAAGATCAGTAGCACTTCCGGTTTAGTAATGTTGCAAATAAAGGATGTAACAGGGCGTTTATTACGTATCTTTGACGAGAGCGCTCACTTCTCGCACTTTCATCTCACGTGGGTTTATTCGCCGAGTTACGTTTCGTTATATGAATGGTCTAGCATTTTCACCACGAAAAACGTTCCGTAATACCGTGAGCTACTAATTTTTCACATTTTCGCTTAATTTGCTTTACGTAATAGATCCCCTGTTCATTACTCTCTCTTGTTTTAATACTAGACGTTGTTCTTATTAAAGACCCAATCTGGAACACACCCTTTACTACGAAGAAATATGGCGCCTGTATTTTGGCCGAACTGCATCGCATCTGAAGGATAGATAAAGATAAATAAGAAATTAATGTTTTGAATTGTTAGTAAAACATGAATATTTTACCCAAGAAGAGGTATGTACATTAATTACACTTTAATGCGTTCTCAAGATGTGGAATAAAACTCCCTTGTTTATATAGTAATTTGTTAACTCACTTTGACAGGTTATGATTGTGAGTTAAAATAGGAAACAATTGTTAATGTACATTTTTCTACTACTATTAATATTTTATTGGGTCGGTTAACAAAGTTTTGCGACACTGACAATGTAATCTTGGAATATATTTTTATTTATTGAGTTGTAACTTCAGTCAACGATATATTCTCTGATTTTATTTATGATCTGTGTCCATCTATTGGAGAGCTCGTTGCTTCTTTGTAGGTTTTTGTTAAGTTTTATAAAGGAAAATTTCAAGCGTTGGGCTTTAAATTTTAAAGGACTTCTTAACCAGTCCAAGAATTGTAGTTTTCGCTATAGTTTGTCATGTTCTAATATTTTAAATTAATTCATATTATATCGTAATTCCAGATGGCACGTAAGGACGAAGGAAAATATTGCCCGTGTCAGACGGGATGAAGCGAAAGCTGCAGAAGAGGAAAAAGCAAAGACAGATCGAATTCAGAAAGCTGTAAATATTTCCTAATTATTTTCTACATATTCGTATGAAGGCATTCTTTGCGTTGAAATAGCTTTATAATTTCATTTTGCATTCCATTATAATATTTATCCATTCTTATGTAGGAGACCGAAGCACGGATTAACTTTCTAAGAAATCAAGCGAGGAAAAATTATGATGGCCGAGAAGATGAATTACAAAGTGTTCCGAGTACGTCATCAGAGAAACTCGAGCATGTAAACTTCTTTGCGGACCTAGAAGATGGGAAAATTGATTACAATAAACCTAATGCTGAACATGAACGAGAGAAGAAAGAAGAGAAAGAGAAGTATGAAAAACAAATTGGATACTTAACTTACCTCGGTCAAGACACCAACGAAGCGACAGGAAAGACAAATTGGTACGATGAATTACCTAAAAGGCTTACGGATACAGAAACAAAAGTGGAAGTTGAGATAAAACGTAAATCTTTTGACGATCCTATACGAGATATTAGAAGATACATGAACATCATGCGCTCAACACCTGAAGGTAATGATTCAAAGATAAAAGATAGGAAGAGAAAGAGGAATCGTAGGCAATCGGATGATTCTGATTCCGAGGCGGAAGGGCAAGCCAAAAAGCAAAATAAACAAAAATCCAAAAAGCATGAGAGCGATAACGCGAAATCAGATTCACATGATTCTAAGCCAAAAGCAGACATTGAAAAACTAAGGGCACAGAGATTGCTAAGAGAACAAACCGAAAAATTAAGAACAGAAGCATTATTAGCAAAATTACGGGGCGATCCATTACCTGTTTCTCCCAAGGAGATACCGAAACCTCTTATAAAGCAAAAATATAATTCTCAATTCTGTCCGGAAATTGCACGACAAAACGCAGAACGTACACCCAGGCGTTAGTAATTAGTGGAAACGATTTAACATTTAATGTTGATTTGTAAACATTTGTATATATTAAATGAATTAGTATTGATATATGATACTATATTTTGTTAGAATATGTAAATCGTTTAAATATTATTTGAGGTATTCATAGGTATTAGATTTTAGTGGAACAATCGTGAATTAATATAACAAAATTCAATTCTAAAAAAGTGAAAGAGATGCTTTGTGTTATACCGGGCGGCATCACGTGACCCAAAATGGCTGCGTTTAGAGGTTAGCATGTACCCGATTCTACAAATGAACTGTTTTTTTCTGCAAGAATGATGAGTTTCGCTTATATCCTTTATTATACTTGGTAAGTAAACAAATATTTCCATTAGAACGTTATATATAATTTAATTGTTTATGTTATATAGTAGAAATCTATATTAAAATCTCGAACCAGGCATCTTTCCGCGCTGATAAAAAATTTCGAATTTTGAGTTTAAAATGCTGATCATTTTAATTAACACTTTCTACCATAAATTGTTACCATTAATTTAATTATTTTGCCTTATTATAGAGAATGTAGTCTTTTAACTGCATTAGAGTAACCAGTTTTAAATACATTGGACGATGACATAACCTCTTTCCATGTAAAGTATGTGGATACTAAAAATCATGTTTGATAATCATATAATTTAAAAAAAAGTAACATATTAACAAATTTTAGCGAAGTTTTGATAAATGTTTCATAATTCTCAGATGCAAATGTAGTCAATTTCTCTTAGATGTATTTAATTTCTGCATTTTATTGCAAGAAGTAGGGAATAATATGGTCTTTAAGAAATAATTGTTTTTCTGTTATTAATGTGTTGAATGAACTATTTAATTGTGATTTATTATTTCAGTTTAAATGTTTGTAAATTATGTTGCTTTCTCCTTTGCTTTCAGTATTTTTAATAGCATGGCGTGGTCTAGCTGAAAGTATCCTACTAATCGGTGGATGGAATGGAAAATTAAGTCGTAATGAATGAGGAAATAAATACGGAGCATACGGCTTATTTAAGTTACGAAATTAACGGTGCGCAGTTTATTCTTCAGCCATTAGTAGACACCAGTGAATCCTTAGTCGCAGTTGAAAATGATATGCAGAGGGATGGTGGTTTAATTAATGAAGTGGAATTTCAAAAGGAAGAAGAACCTATTCCTTTGGTTTGTCTCGACGGGCAAATATATGCTTTTCAAAATGGCGAGTTGCAGGAATTAGACTTGAGTCATTTGGTAGATCAGAATGATCAAGTTAATGAAATTGAGCAGAACGATGACATTGTCATAACAAATGATGTCGAACATAGGGAATCGGATGAATCTGAATGTATAGCACATTTTGTTTCCGACGGGGATCCGTTGAGAGAAAATATAGATGACAGTGATCAGAAAGAATATCAAGTTATATCTAAGGACGATGAAAGAAATCTTATTGTTGGAAAACATGGCTTAAATGCCAATGATTTTGTTGAAGTTGTTACTGCTTTTAAGTGCAAAATATGCCCATATACTACTCAAGATCGTTCGCAGCTTTTAGAACACTTTGAAAATGTTCATATTAATCCTTCTCCAGAAACAGAAGCGGTAAAAATATAAATCTGTTATAACTTATAAATCATGAGTTCAGTATTTATTTAATTTTTATTTCAGCAAGAGCAAGAGGAATCTAAGAACGAGGAAGAAGTAAAACTGGTTTACATGTGCGGAGAATGCTCAAATTGCTTCCCTTCTATTGAAGACTGTCGAGAGCATATGATAAATGTAAACATTGTTATAATTGTTGGTTTTCGCATATGTAAAATATATTCACAGTTTTCTTTATTACAGGACCATCAGCTTACGGATCGAGAAGCTGATAATGGTTCGAGAGATGTTACAAAAAGTGATGACGGTGATTCTAAATTATCAGTTAGTAATTCTGGAAGTGGTGCCGAGACTAACGGTTCGAAACGACAAATAAAGGTTCCTAAAGCTCTTAGTTCTGAATATGCTCAGAATAAAAAAATTGTTGACACAAAAGAGCGTAACGTTAAGTATGTTCAGGACTCCTAAATTTAAATTAGATTATCATTCATTTGTATATTTCACTTGTTATCTTTCAGATGCACATACCGAGGTTGTCTCTATAAGTTTAGTTCAGAAGAGACGATGCAACAGCATGCGAGTTGTCACGTAGAATCTCAGAATGTCAATGTGTTTAGGTGTAACATTTGTAGGGACATGAAGTTTACTAAATGGCGTCCTTGTAGTTTGCATTTATGGAAAAAACATGAAATCGGTAAGAATATAATTAATTTATATAATCAATTTTTATTCCTTCTAATTGAATACAATTTTAGACATTGATCTGTTAACGTGTAAGATATGCAAGGCGTATAAAAGTGCAACAATGGTGAAATTACTGACGCACATGAGAGTGCATAGCGAAAGTCGGGAATTTGAGTGCACAGAATGTGGCAAATGTTTTAAACAACCAAGTCAATTGCGTAATCATCGGGTGATGCATATTGATCGTAAAACTGCTGAGCCACGTTGGTATACATCGAAGACCTGTGAAATATGTGGAAAGACATATGCAGATTCGAAGTGCCTTAAAAATCATATACAGGCAGTGCATTCAAAACTTCGCCCTTACGTGTGCAACGTATGTGGTCATTCCAGTGCGAGAAAAGCAATGTTGCAGATGCACCTTCGACAGCACACGGGTGATAAACCATTTAATTGCGAGCTCTGCGAATACAAGACTGGAGATCACAATTCATTGCGACGACACATAATGCGACATACAGGTAAAATATGTAGCTATGAATTAACCTTAAAGTGAAGAATACATGTTTAAATTTTTGGTTATGTTTTTATTAGGTGTTCGTCCATATAAATGTCCACACTGCCCATATTCAGCTATACAGAGCAACAGTTACAAGAATCATCTGCGATCTAAGCATCCATCGCTTTCTGGATTGTTCACTTGTGATCTTTGTTCGTTCAAAACCGTAAAAAAAGAAGGTTATATGCAACACATTGGAGATCACGAAAAAGGTTTAATCAAGGCAATTACTCAACAAAAAGGTATTATTGGTGGTGCGATCAATTGCAAAGTTCAACCTGCTCGGGACATATGAGTGTAATATCGAAAGAAAAAACATATCGAAGTGGTGGATTTACTTTTGCAGATGACGAGAATGTTGAGGTTTTCCCAGGCAACATAGCAGCAGCGCAATTAATTTACAGCTGCTTGGGTGCATTTTCTAAAGTAGGAAAAACGATAGAGGCTAACTTAATGTCATCGTCAACTTCTGCGGATGGAACCTCCCAAACGATCACAATCCAAATACCATCGAAGCACCTTAAAGGATCATTACCTACAATCGAAGACGCTGCGAATAATAGTTCTATAGACCAAGAAGATGATGAGACGATGCATTGTTTCTTAAAAATTCCTAAAGAGGAAGAAGAGAACATTGACACAGGTGGCATAACAATACCTGCCGAACCTGAAGAACCAGAATCCACATTAATGGACATTGAGACATGAAGACTTAAACGGAAGATTGCCAACTTTAGGATATGGAATCGTTCAGGTAAGAAAAATGGTGATATAGAATCGAGAGAATCTAGTCAGACGTTACTTATATAGTATTTGTGCGTGATTCGCTCGATTTATTTAAGCTAATGATCATCGCTATTAGAATTAACGTCTTAGAAAGGCATAAAACGTGTTAACGGATGATTATTCTGAACGATTTGTAGTTTATTTTCATAAACTCCTCCGACTGAAAGCTAACGTCTGCTATTAGTGGGTTATTATTGTAAATTACAATCAATTGAATGTCCAAGTAACGTACGGTTTTCAAGTTGTACTAAGTTGCTCTTACTTGAAGTGGACGCATGTTGAGTTTGCTCAATTCAATTATATTTTGTTACGTTTTTAAGATAGTATAGGTAACGAAATAATGTTCTGTAAATATAAGCTTACTTAGGTATTACCGAATCTGAATGTATCGTCATCTAGATATTTTTTTACTTACCGTAATCATGAAACTGAGTATGACCTTTTTACAAATTGAGACGTTAAACTTCATGTTCTGGATATATTTATTAATTGATACTAAATTAGCAGAAGTGTACATAAAACTGTAAAATAATAGTTTGGAAATCGTTGTAAAATGTAAAATACATTGTCCCGGTATCCATAGTTTCGATTGCCAGAATTAAAATTAATACTTTACATGGTCGTCAAAGCAAGTTTGTATTATTGTTGAGAGTTCCAGATCGGGTCAGACTTTGAAATTACAGCGATCTGCGATTACAACACTATGGAAGATTCAAATTCATAATTCGCACGACCACTCGTGAATACTTAATGGACTTGACAATGAAATCACGAGGTTATAAGAAGTACCGTATCGATTCGCTCAACTGGGAATAAAACATACGAAAACACTGATCGACGTCTTATGGTATTATCTGTACGACTTTCAGAGCTTTATAAATCTCGATGATTTAGTTTTATTTAAAAGTGCCTATAAATCATAGAGATCTATAAAGGTTCGAAATGGGAAATTTGAGGTTATCTGGATTGAATCTGTTAATCCGGTTGAAAGTAAGGTAAAATCTGTTTCGATAACTTAAGCAAATTGATACGGTTCATTATTTACAGCTAACAGTTCATTGAAATACGAGAAGGCCTCTGTCTCTTCTGAATAAGTAACTTCAGGATCTTCTCTTACGTTACACACCATGCCCTCAGAGAAGTTTCATAAAGGTTTCTCCGTTACGTTACACAACATATCACAACTAAGAGTTCCTGGGCAATTCCCCGTAATAAGCTGTTATAGCTATCAGCTTTCTGTCCAAAAAGTTTTGTTCCACTTCGACGCCACAGCCCACTCCAGCCAACATGGCAAGCTGTGAGAGAAAAAGTTTTAAAAATTGATAATGTCAAACAAAAAGGGAAGTCTTTACGAAGTGAAGTAAAACTCCCTTCAAATCAGTCGATTCGAATAAGACACTTTTTTTAAAGGGTATTGGATCGAACTGTTTGACACTTACAGGGTGGCAATCCAGGGGATTTCTGGAGTTTTACTTCAATTACTTTATAATCATGTTTCACTTTACCTTAATAACGAACAGAAAAAGTAAAGCTTTACCTGCATAGTGTCCACGTTTCTGGGTAGGAAGTAGGCCACGTTGTCTGAAATCTGCTTTGCTACGTTAAAAAGCTTCATTCCACCAATTGGTTGCATGATACTTTCGAGATCAAAAGTTTCTTCCCTGGCATATCCGGGTCCACCCCACGGTGGACTTAGAAAAACTACATCGGCGACCAACTTTGATGCTAATTGGAAGAAGTCTCCGACAATGAACTCTATTCTGTCCTCCACACCGTATACTCTAGCATTGTTGCGAGCCAATTCAATCTTTGCTGGATCTATATCGATGGCGAACACTGAAAGAGTTTATCATTAGACCCGATAGAAATGTGAGTACGGTACTCTCACCTAGCACGAAGCGTTAGTGTCATTTTTTCAACTTGCCACGTAGACGTAAAGTGCTAGACTGGACAGAGTACAGTATTTTTAGTATATTTATGCCCAGTTCTAGCTCGGTCAAATCACTGATCACCTAACCGTAGGTTAAAGTTAACCTCTAAGTTAATCATGGGTTAAAAACGTAAACGTTCGTTAAAAACCGAAGCTAAACGATCGAATTTGGCTGGTTAATCTAAGCGGCGGTTAATGGGAATTAACCCGCTGTTAAAATGTGGCGGAACGGGCAATTAGTTGTAACCGAGGATTAGCTTTTCGACCGAGGCAAAGAATTCAGAAGTCTCATAGAAGTCCAGATCCTATGTCAGCGCTTGATGCTCTAAAAGTTGGCTAACAAACCAGAAGTGGGGATAAAAGAGAGATCGCATGTGTTAACCAACAATATCTCACATACGGGAGGAAAAGAGACGCATATGGAAAGGCGAGTATTGGGTGTAAGATAAAAAAAGAATACAATACCCTATATATCGCCATAAGATTAAGAGAGATGAAGAGATGATTACAGCGCCGCCATCCGTATGCTAACGTACTATTTGTCTAGCATCGAATGTCCGTATCCTGGGCTTCTATGGAGACTTCTGAATTCTTTGACCGAGGTCGGTGGAACCGGACGTTAAGGCGATGTGAAAGTGGCATCGAAGAGGTTTTGTTTATAAAACTTTTCTCCCAACTCGATTCACCAAACAGTTTGAAACTTTACAACGTGAATAGGGAGACTATAAGGAAGGTCCCGAAACTCATGAAATTTCAATTCTTCTCAAATTTGTTTATAGGTATTTTAAAAATAGTTAATAAAAAATGAAATTTCCCGAGTTTCAGGACCTACCTTAGGGTCTCCGTATTCACGTTTTAAAGTATGAAACGATTTGAGACACCCAGTTCTATGAAAAGCTTTACGAACGATTGAGCTTTCGGATGCCACTTTCACATCCCCTTAAAGATTTAGTTTCTCCTTAAATGAAGTTACCTTTCTCGCAAGTAAATGCAAATTGTATAGCGTTTCCACCAGCACCGCAAAATGCATCGACGACGGTGTCGCACTTGCACCGCTCGGAGATGTGCTGTGCAATTTTCTCAGGAGTTACGGAGAACCAACTCTCTAAAAAAAATTAATTATATCTTTCATATCTGACTACCATATATAGTTCATATTATGTTCAGATGAAAGAACATAAAAGAAATGAGAAAAGATACTCTCCGATTATGTTCACACTCACCGCGATCTAATTTGATACCTTCGTCGAACTTACTAAAGAGGCGATATCGTTTCACCCAGTACTTCATCATCGTCTTATCACCGTCCACTTCGATTGGAAGACTGACGTTCCTTTTCCCTTGCTTCCTCCTCTTTTTCTTTTGAGTTTTCTTCCCACTGTCTTCATCGGACAGTTTCGTGGCGAAGGTCTCGTTGCCATTGGATCGGCAGTCGACTTCCATTTCTGCGGTTTCGTCAGCGAAATTCCCTCCCGTCTGCACTGCTGACGTTTCAACGATTTCAACATCCGCGATGCTTTCCGCGTGTCTAGCTTCGTCTACTTTCGTGTCCCCGAAGACATCGTCGAGGTCTTCGTGGGTTTTAAACGTATCGTTTCTAATATCGTCCTCTTTTCTATCTGGCTTTGACTCTAGAGAATTTGTGCTTGTTTTACTAAATACAAGCCGTTTCGCATGCAGTTTAGAATTCAGACTAGGATTACATTCCTCGTCGGAACTGGACGTAAATTGTGCTTTTGTATAGGAACCTTTGTCATTGGGTTGAAGCTCTAACTCTGAGGGTACTCTCATCGGACAATAAGACAAGTACTGCTTTACCTACATCGCGTCAAAATCAAAAGTGGGATATCAGCCAAAGTATATAACTTTCTTCTAGAGCGCTGACGCAGTTCTGTAAACAGATTTTTTAAGGGGATATTACGCCTGTCTAATGTAGTTACCTTATCTATCGTGTCTGTAATCTCAACCCCATTATCGTCGAAATACATATGCTTGTTAACAGCCTTAGGACGGCTGAATTTCATCTTCAACTGCCTGTTTTGTAATCTGATGTTTCTCTTCCTGTACACTACCTCACCTTGCAACTTCAATTGCTTCTTGTTATCGTTGAATGTATACCCCATCAGTGAGAACGCTTTCTTCACTGTTTCTAAGCCCTCGTTAGTGTCATCGCAGTCAGCCTCATGGCTAGAAAAAAGAATTAATTAATAAATAATCTTGTAATTGATCAAGTAGCATTCAATTGTCATAACTTCGTACGGTTTAGTTAAAATGAACGTATAAGTATGCTGTTTAAAAATAATGTTTCCTTTTACCTTCGCTTTAGTGTTATCGGCTTGTCATCTTGAGACTTATCTCCATCCCCTTTACCTACTAAGCCTTTCCCATTGCTAACGTTACTATCAAGAAATGCAGAGCCATGTGTAGTGGAAGCAAGTGCAGAGCTTTGGTCTTCCCCTATATTTTGACACTGGTTTTGGTCCATCTTTTCTGTCGTATCGTCACCATCCATTTCTAATTGAGAGTCCTCCGACTTCATTGTTAAGTTTTGCATAAGCACACCTACTGATTCGATGATCATCCTTTTTGTCGTTGAATTACTTTTCTTTGACCTTTTCACTTCGATCTTATCTTGTTGCCCGAGAGTTCCAAGCGATGACTTTGGATCTTCCATGTTGTGCAGTTCCGATTCAATATGTATTTTATTTAGTTTACTAATATCTACATTATTTTGGGACGTATCGTGTAAATCATAGGCATCGGCAAACTCATCTGAGCGTTTCGAATAGCTTGCAACGAAGATATCGTATTGGCTTTGGTACTGTTCTTGAAAGTGTTCCTGCCACAACTTTTGCCAATATTTGTCATTGTCTTCCGATGTGTATTCATTATCTTGATCGGAGCTGTTGCTCGTTAGATTACTTTCAATGGAACTGGTTACGGAGCTAATAAGACTGGAGGACTGAATGGAGTTTGAGTCAAAACTCGAACTGGTGAGAGTCATCTTTGTGACGTTAGTCATGGAGTCGGAAGCTGCACATGTTTTTGACAAAGAGCCATTAATGGAACCACATCGTGAGACAGTTATGAGTCGTTCATCTTCGCCATTGGACTGCAGATTGTAGCTCTCCTCCGCACTGAAAGGGCTTAGTGGATTCCACCCGTCTCCTACTTCTGGCGATATCACATTGCTTATTAATCTTTTTCTATTCTCTTCGGCTTCGCTGTCATTAATACAGTGTTTGCTTGTGTTATCGAAGGAGAAAGTTGCATTATTTAGCGTATCTTTAACTTTAACATCACAGCTAGCTAATCCAGTTTTGCTAAAAATTCCTTCGAAGTTTGATCGACCAAGTTCACAGTTTATGTGCGCTTGATTTGGAAAACACGTGTTTTGTTCGGAATATCGTTCGATGGTTTTTTCCTTTGTTTCGTTGGACACTTTAGCATCGTCTTCAACTTGTGATTGTGAGTCTTGCAGATAACCAGGGTTTATATAATCGGAGTACTTTTGAATCCAAGATGCCCAAATTAATTGTTCACCGTTTCTAGCCCAGAACTTTTCCCAGGCTACTTCCACGGAGCTTTTGTTCTTTTTACAATACGCGGCATAAATACTATGATAGGAGTTAGATAAATTATCTTCTGGAAATATAACATCATTCTCATTGTGGGTCAAAGTATCGCTTTCAGTCGTACCATTCAGCATAGAAGAAACATTTTTGTACGATGTAGAGTCACTTGCCATGGAGTCGTTTGCCCCTGAAGTACTCGAGGGGCATTCAATGTGGCAGTCATCTGTTTTAAGGCTTGAGAAACTGTGGCTGGGATCCGAAGTTTTCCAGGTGAAAGGTTTATCACAAGTATCGGCATCTCCTGTTCCAGATTGAGTATTAACATTGCTTTCACGGTATTTGGTACGTATCTGAGTATCGTCAAGATCGTCTTGGATATCGACATCTGTAGAGGTAAAAGCCTTTCCATAAGTAGCTAACAGATTCTGAATACTTTTAGCTTCGTGTTGATCGTGATATTCGGATAAATCTGCACCAGAGTCTGATTGATGTAGACCAAGTTTTTGAGTGAGAGATTGCGTGGTGGGTCGATAGGCTAAATCTCGGACAGAATCGTGCTCATCCGTTGAATAATTGTTGTCGGTGTGTGACGCACTGCAATAACAACTGACTGGTTCCTCCTGATAGCAAATATAAGAAGATAGTAGGCCACCTTTAGGAGTAAGCGCGAATAAGACTCAATTAATAACATAGAACTGCTCTTACATCATGTTTTTCTACCAATTGTGTCTCTATGGAAGTTCCTTTATGTATGGCCAGCATTTCGCCCACCCTGTCCCCTTCGGCGTCCTCATCGTCACTGGCACCCTCGGGAGCGAGAACCGTATAAAATTCTGGATTGCTTAAAGATCAGAAATTCCAAAATTAAATAACTTCTCCCATATTTATTACTTACAAGAGGAAAGAAACTAAACAGAGGACAAACGTTGGCTTTAGAAAACAATAAAACGTAACGAACAGCTGCTATGTATCCCTCTTCTCTACGTTATGGTAATGTTTTGCGTAAGTAGTTCAACCTACCTATCGAATGGATATTTAAAAATACAGCCGATCACATTACTGCCAGAAAGAATATTAAAACCAGCTCACTTTCTTTTAATAATCCGTTAGTCAAGTTCCACGGGGATGTTCTAATAACTTTCTATGATACCTGTTACGACCTAACGTATTCGAGTGGGTGTCAAGGTTAGGTCATGTGTCACACCACTGATCGATAAGCTTATTTCTCAAATATTAGGAAATTAACGGGAATACTGGGTATTTCCGGTGTGCCGATTCTTTTAGAATTTCTCACGGATCTCATCGGTTGGACTCGCACGAAATATTTACCGAATAAACACTCTGCTGCACAGACAATAAATGTAACTATCAGGGTCAGCGGACTCCGCCTGTTCTGCAATGTAAACTTCTGCGAGGGATTCCCAGTAATGATCGCACATATTGAAGGCGGTGCGATTTTCCTAATTGAGCACGAATCGTCACAAAACCCACATGTCTTACGCGCCAATTTTTATCATTTCTTCTAAGGAGAGCAGTTCGCCATTACCGCCTACGCCACACCGACATGAAGTTGCCGCCTGTGCGGATCGATAATCGATACACATCGAGGTATCGAAATGGAATTCGTGCACAGAGTATGTATATAGAGATGAGTTGGGAGATTGCTCACGAGCAGGGTGGCGCGATCAGTCCTGTGCTGCCCTCTGGGACTCGGTGCGGGCGGCTAACGTACTTGCCCCCTGTTTTTGGCGTTTTTAGGCAATTTGTGACGTTTCTAAGCGTTTCTAGGCTTTTATAGGCTTTTACAGGCTTTTACACGGTTGGGTAAGTATAATACGTCAAGTAATTCTTTTCTACACGTATATTACAACGTATAATACGTTCCTAGTTTTCTACGCAGACACGAAGTATATTACCCCAAACTAAATGTGCAAAGCGCATGCGCAATATCGTCAATGGCCAATGAGAGTCCACCTATTTACCTCTAAGAGAGATTCTCATTGGCTATTAAGGGGATTGCGCTTACGCATTCACAAATCCGCGTACATTCGAAATCAGCCTTCGAAATTTTAAATGTATGTATATATGTGCATTTGACGTTTGTTTGTAACGGCTGATAACGGGTATTTGAAGTCGTAAGATTCGTAAGCAATATTTGTATGAAAACGTATAAAGGTGGAAGATCAAAAAGTAAATTATGGGATGAAACAAATGGACAAGATGGATGTTTATAACCTAGCGGATACCGTATGCCCTACGTCTGTCCTGTCCGCCATATTTGATACGTTTATCCTGGTTTTCTAGGTTTTCTACGGTAAACTACTTGATTTACGTAATATACGTCAAAAACCTCGAAAATCGTGAAATTACCCCACCCTGGGCTTTTATAGGCGAATAAATTTCATTTCACGCTATTGAGAAGATTGAAAATGTTTCAGAAAGAATCTCAGATGCCGGTAATAGTAGAACACTACGGGGGAAAGGAATATAGTTCGAGGGCGCTCCGACAGATGGAGGCACCCACTCCTCTTGGGACGTCCATTAACGTACCGCGTAATAAAAAGTAAGTGGTAGGTAATCGCCAAGTTAGAATTTCTCGTGATATCATTTCTTGAAATGCACTAGGATGTACAATTATAATTACACCGTATCCATTTGCACACTCGTGATTCACGGAGGCGATAAAATGCAAATGTAACGAACGCTTAATGGCGAATTTACAAAGGATAAATCGCCGGTAATCGAAAACGCAATATCACATGCTAACCAGCCTTTTATATCATTTAAAAGCCTGCAGAGATAAGAGTAAACCGTTTAGCGTCCGTTTTCTTCTCTCAATCTCTTATGCAGAACGCCGCTGAGGCATAAAACCGTAATGACAGCAATATCCATGATGGTGTCGGATAACAATCGGAGAATTCCACACTCGAGGTTTACTTTCCTTCCAGGGTGGGCGTACATTGTACTCGGGACGAAAAAATGGCAGAAGTGCCCAAAGACTCCCACACGATGCCTTTAAATAGCCTCTATGAATAGATGGAGATATATCCGGTTATATTCTGCTATTCCTGCACAAGTTGGTACGTGATTTTTATTTACTCTAAATACAAAAGAAATTTAACCTACCGAGAAATGAACCTACGTTCGTTTTTATATTGACAGCTGGGTCGAATTATATTGGATATTGTACCAAATGGCATACTCCACCTGTCGTTTTCGTACATTAATTATTAAGAAATCGAAGTCAAACTCCAGAAATCCTCTGGATTCGTGCTTTCTGGAGCCCTAATTGACTGCAAAGGGATCCCTTGCGCCATCTGTGATTTCCAGGTCAATTAAATTTTCACTCCGAGACTTCGTATTTCCATCGTTTTAGCATAGAAGGGTATAAAACCTTTTTTTTTGCCTTTATCGCGTTCAAATGCGAGTTTATCGATTACCAGAGTGTTCTAAATTGTCGTAAAATTGTCCTGACTCTTTCGTTTCTTATATCAGAGCCTTCGATAATTGTATATTGATCGAAATATGAGAGCCATCTGTGATTTCCAGGTCAACTAAATTTTCCCTCCAAGGCCTCGTATTTCCATCGTTTCAGCATAGAAGGGCATAAAACACTTTTTTTTGCCTTCATCCCGTTCAAATTCGAGTTTATCGATTACCAGAAAGGTCCAAATTGTCAAAAAATTGTCCCGACCCTTTCGTTTCTCATATCAGAGCCTTCGATAATTGTATATTGATCGAAATATGAGATCCATCTTTTTATTGGTATATTATTATGCGGCGCGCCAAAAATGTTTTAAAAATTGCACATATTTCTTATGTTATAGATTCTATTATATAGTTTTATTCGAATTTCTCTAGCGCAGGTTGTTTCAGCAACCTTACACCGTGCAAAACTTTAATCGAATCAAAAACACCTTCTTCAGGTGTAAAAAAACTTCGCCAAATATATATATAGAAGGCTATTTATTGGTATATTATTACGCGGCGCGCCAAAAATGATTTAGAAAATTGCACATATTTTTTATGTTATAGATTCTGTTATATAGTTTTATTTCTCGAGCGCAGGTTGTTTCAGCAACCTTACACCACGCAAAACTCTAATCGAATCAGAAACACCTTCTTCAGGTGTAAAAAAACTTCGCCAAATATATATATAGAAGGCTATTTATTGGTATATTATTACGCGGCGCGCCAAAAATGATTTAGAAAATTGCACATATTTTTTATGTTATAGATTCTGTTATATAGTTTTATTTCTCGAGCGCAGGTTGTTTCAGCAACCTTACGCCGCGTAAAATTCTAATCCCGCTAAGCAATTGATTTAACCGAGACGTATCGATTATGCAATTTTATTCCTCCTAGGTGTTTCTCTCCTCGGCGTTTCCCTCTCCCTCTGGGAGACCCGACAGATAACGCGCCCTCGCGGGATGCTGAGGAATTGCGGCGTGATCGAGCAATGGCGTAGGCGGCGATCCAGTGATAAATTAATTTTTATCGCTTCATGGGTGGCGGCCGTTTCTATTGGTCGCCGATCGGGCACCTCCCACTTTGCAGTTATCTCTCTCTTTCTCTCTTCCACGTTTCGTTCCCCTCTGCCGTTCGCCACTCTTCTCGGCGATGATCTTCCCGGTAAATTATAGCGAGCCCGCTTTCGCGCACGTAGACTTTACGCCCGGCCTTTCCCAGACTCTGCGATCTATCTTCCCAGTTCACTTATTTACTTTTAAGCGGACTCGCACTTGCAGCTGCACAGGTGCACGAGGCGCGTTACGAAATCCCCGGTTCCCATTTTCCTCGGGAGTGGCGTCAAGCATCTCGTTCGTTAGCGTTTTTACCGTCTTCGCGTCTGCGTCGTAACTCCCCTAGTAGCATGGAATAATTTATAAATAATTCTTTGTAATCTTTGATAAGTATCTCAGGCGACGGATTCTTCAAGATCTCTTGTAGATCTCATTCGAAGATATTTGACATATTTCTTGAAAATCTCAATGACATACATAGTTTCAATAATTTATAAACATATAGAGAAAGTATATTTTTTAACTTGTTAACGTAATGAAAATTCATTTTTTACTTCACGACTATTATTCATCACCGCTATTTCATTGTGGGAACAAAACGTGGGATTTTGATTTTAAATATTTTTAATACGTTTATTATGTATTCGGCAGATAATATTTAAAAAATACTTGTAGTACAATGAAACTAAATGTTTGGTATATCTGGTAGAAAAATATTATGAAAACACATGGAGGTAATATTAGATAAATATTATTGAGATAATATTCTAAAGTAAACGTTTGGCAAATATTTCAAATGTCTGGTAAATAATTACAAAATGTACGATATTCGTTAAATACATACAAAATATAGGCAGTTTTACTGGATTGCAATTTTTTCCTCTACATTAAATATATATTTACAAGAAATGTTGAATTTGAGTGTTGAGCTTCCGATGCGTTTGCTTCTAGCCGGGAAGGAATATATTTTAACTTAACGTTTTTACATTAATTGAAAGTACGGTAAACGATTATGCTACAATTACAAACTTCCATTTTCAGTTTGGAAAATTAATACATTCCATGTATTTTAAAAACATACCCTCACCTAAATATTTAACCGAAAATGTCCAAACAGGGTTCACAATTGAAAGCGTAAAATAAACGCTAAATCAGCGTTGAATATAATTCGTAAAGGGCGGCGATTAAAGTGTGAAAAACGCGTTATCAAACCCGTAATTCCACAATAAGACGTTTATTCGGGTGTTTATGAATCAAGGAAACGTAGGGATACGAAAGCTTATTTATCGCTCCGCAATCAAAATGCTTCATTAATACCACTTCAGGCGCAATTACGTATAATAAAATCGGCAGCGTTTTATTCCCATTCGGGGAACTCATCGAAAGACACAGTTTTTCATGGCTTCGTTTTTTCTCCTTCGGCCGGTCTCGCAATCAGCTCTTGCGTTCCTCGACGACTCCCCTGATTCACGCGAATAACCCTTTCCGGATTAATACCGCGGACAGAGCCGGCATTTCTAGATTAAACCGCAATCCGCGGTATCTGGAAGTGCGTCCTAACCGGGCGTTGAAATCACCGAGTCGTCGCGCCGGGTCGTGGGTGTCCAAAGCGATACCGCCTATTCCGGCGTCGAAGTCTCCGGAGATCTCGTTTGCCAAAGGCTGAGCCACTTCGCTCTTACGAGGAACTCCCCGATTCTTATATCGCGAAACTCAGCCACCGTAACTTCGAAATGGCCTATTAAGGTGAAGTGAAAACCCCCTTCAAATCGGTCGATTTGAATACAACACTTTTT